CGAAGGTGTATGCATTTGGATACACAGATTGAGAAAGAGATTGAAACTAGTGACGAGGAAAGTCTAACAACACAATGAATCTGTCATTTGAAAATAACTTTCTTTATTCTAGCACTTCATTTCTGGGAATTTTTTTTTACCAATAATACACATGTGTATAAAGATCATATTGGGCAATTCACCATAGCACTGTTTGAAATAATTTCAAGTTGGAAACTGCTTAAATGTCCACAGAGTATTAATTAAACTATGGTTACATCCACTTTATTGAATACCATGTAGCTATTTTTACAAAGAACTCAGTAACTTTATACCTGCTAAGAATCAATTTGCAAGATGTATTATTATTTTTTTTTGAAGAGGTTTTTTTTTTCCCCCCCGCTATAGGGCGCGTGCGCTCCCCATACAGAGCGACAAGAGACAGAAAGCGAGAAATCACCCCCCAGGGGGGATGGTCACGCCGCAATCCCTTTTCCTCCATTCTCCTCTCGGGATCTAGGGCACGCGTGCACATGCGCCCGGCGTGAGTTTTAAGCCACCTGATCCGGGACATGAACCGCAGTCGACTACGTGGGAGTCCAGCGACATAGCCATTACGCTAACTGCTGGTTCCCTATTATTATTTTTTTTTTAAAGTGAGATCCAGAACAGTGTTCACGGACCTATTTCCTATTATTTGTGGAAAAGGTAGCAGACATATGCACATGAATGTACACAAATGTTTATATGCAAATGGAATACAAAAGAAAATGGGGAATGGGGACAAAAATGAGGAACTGGTATAGACAAATATTAATTTATTGGTTCACTTAACTAGTATATCTTTTTTTAAAAAGAATTATTTTATTCAACTTTATGATTATTACTATTATTATTTTATTTGACCAGAGAAAGACGGGAGGGGGGAGTGAGAAAGAAAGCTGCCAGGTTTGATTTTATATTATCAAAATATGTTTCTGGTTAAACACACAAAAAAAGCTCAGTACAAAAAGGTATTATGTAGTTGAATAGAAGAGGTGTAGCTTTGACATCAGATATTAATTTAAATTCTAACCCCACTGCTTATTTATCTTAACTTGATCCTTGGAGCCTGCTTGTTCATCTGTCAGATGGGGATCATGTCTGTGAAAACATCTAGCAAATTACAACCGCTTAAAACAATTATCAGAAAGGAAATAACCAGGCTAAACTTCAGGTCGAAATCTGGGTTGAATTTAGACCTGCTAACTCCCTGCAGGAACTGCAGTAACCAATTTGGCTTTCAGAGCAATCCTGTGAGGAAGAAATGTAATCTCACTTGACAGGTGGGAAAAAGAAATCTCCTGGACTCAATATAAAAGGTGGAAAGAAAATGAGAGGGTGCCTAAGGACTAAGAAAAGAGCACAGGATCACAACAAAATGAAGCTCACCTGTGGAGACGGCGGGGGAGGGCGAGAGAAGACCATGGTCAGGGTGGTGGCTTCCCTGGACACTTTCTCAGCCTCCTCCTCTGAGGGTGGGAGAGGAGACAAATGCCAACCTGTTAGCGCCGAAGGTTAAAGCCTGAGGCCGCAGCGCAGCACCGGCTTTGAAGGCGATGCATTCCCTCTCCACCCTCCCCGGGCCCAAACATCACAAAACACCTCCAAGAGTCAGTGATTCGAATCTTAAACCTCCCAGGTGCCAGGACAGATAAAGTGAGTCCTCTCACAGGGGATGCAGCGGGGGAGAGCTGGAAAGAAAGGGGTCGGTGGCTGGAAGAGGTGCGGGATTGCGGTCCCCGACCCGACAGGCACTCACTGAGTCTTCTCCAAAACACCTCCCGATTAAACTCCTCGGTGGTTTCCCGGGCTTCGCCGACTTGGCATGGTGGGAGGGGGCCGTCGACGGCAAAAGGAGAAACTGAAGTAAGCGGACGGCCCCGTCGCCCGGGCCCCGCCTCCCGCCGCCCCGCAGCCAGGCCTGCGCCTACATTCGGTCCCTCCCCTGCTACCCCCCGTCCTGCTGCGGCAGCTCCCACG